AGCTTCACTCTTTCTCCATCTCCCTTCAGAAAAGGGCAGGCATCCCAGGGATATCAACCAAACATGGCATCTCATGTTGCAATAACACTAGGCACCTCCCCTCTTATTAAGGCTGGACAAGGCAACCCAGTAGGAGGAAAACTACTACAACATCTTAGCCATTCAAAAGTGAAAGCCAGAGTTACTTTTCTCGAGAATGCATTTTTTAAAATTGAAATCTTTTGCCTATTGTAGCTAACATTCTGTCATTTAGAAGTTTCACTTTGGCTTGGCATATTGCAGAAAACTACAAGTTGGAAAGTCATTGTCCAAATGGAAACTGCTACAGATTTAAATACTGTTTGTTCTGATGGTAGAGAATCATATTTTTAAAAATATATCTTGTGTATATGAACATATTTGTGTGTGTGTGTGTGTGTGTGTGTGTGTGTGTGTGTGTGTGTGTGTGTCCATGTGTGCAAATGCAGGCTCACGCAGGCCACAATGGGCATGTGGAGGTCACAAGAAAACTTCTGGTTCTGGTCCTTACCTTCTACCCTTTTCAGAAGGTGCCCTTCACTGTTTTGCTGCTGCATACAGCAGGCTAGCTGGCTGGCTAGCTTCTACCTCACGTCTGCCTGTGTGAACACTGAGATTGGAGATGTATGCTATCACAGCAGGTTTTGTGTGAGTTCTGGAAATCTGAACTAAAGTCTTTATGCTTGCCCGGCAAACATTTTACCCAACTTAAGAGACATTTTCTTTTTCTTAATAATTAGTAAGTTATTGGTAAAATATCCATATTGTCTTCTCCGGTTTTGTCTATGATTACATGGGGTAAGTGTTATGGCTGTAATTTTTTGATTGAAGAAATCAAAGTTTGGAAGTCTTAAGCAACAGGTTTAATGTATATCAACATGTAGACAGTAGTTCCTGATATGAATCCATGTTGTATCTGATGCCAAATTAAGCTTTTATTAGCACATGGTCTTACAGAGTAGATCTATATCTACTTGTTGTAGGTTTAATTGCTAAGAAATTGAGACAAATGCTAGGATCTAGGTCTCTGACTTACGTCTAAATTGAGACCCCTCTATAAATTATATTGCATTCATTATAAATTCAGAATTTTATCCTATTTGCAACAGTTCTATAGTTTGATACTATTCCTTTATATTATTTTAATTGTAAAAGCAATTTACCTAGCACATGGGTCATGTCTGGATCTCCTTTTTGTATCCTTTCCAATTTAACCTGGTATCATGTATACATGTATATTCAAAACCAACAGAATGAAAGATTTCACATTCTGACTTTAAAGTAAGTTTAATTTTCAGAAATGAAATGACTCTTCACATGTATCTATCAGAAAAGACATCCCATTTCTAATGAACACCGTTTGGAAATTTTGCATCTATTTATAGGAAAAGGGAAATAGATCATTTTCCACAACTGCTCTTTATTCTTATTTCACCACAAGTTCATTGTCTTTTTTCCCTTCAGTTCAAGAAAAAACCTTCAGTTCCGGCAAGAAGGAGTGAATAAGGCAGGAAGCTAACTGAAGGACATCATGAACTCCTTTATTTTAGGTGACTTGTCCAGGAATCAAGCCAATGAATACTTTTAAGGACTTGATAAGCACTGATACAAACCACAGTTGCAGACACTCTCTGATTGCAGTAATTAACTTTGTTGTCATGAAAGAGAACCCTTGATCTTCCCCCATTACCCAACACAAATGCTCTGAAAGAATTACCATGAAGGAAACCGAGAACAAACATAACGTTGGCATGGGGGAAGAGTCCAGCTATTTCTCCTTCAACCTGTAGAAGACCAACCATTGCAGCTCATCAAACTGCAAGCACTGTCTTGGGATTAGCAATTTTCCCCAGGAAAGCAATAGAACCTGAAAAATGACCTTTCATTAAATAAAACAAGATATTTTAAAAGAAATGCCATAGATCAGTATTTGTTCCTTTTTATAGGACTTTTTAAATGTTTGGTTTTTCTTAATCTTTTTTTACACTGCCAAGAAAAGTTACAAGGAGATTCATCTTTTTGTTTTGTTTTGTTTATCCTTGTAGCTCTTTAAGACAGAAGGTTTCTCTGTGTAACAGTCCTGGCTGTCCTGGAACTTGCTCTGTAGACCAGGCTGACCTCAAACTCACAGAGATCCACCTGCCTCTGCCTCCCAAGTGCTGGGATTAAAGGCATGTGCCCCCACCACCCAGCTGTCATTGTGACTCTTTAAGCATAATTTTGTACTTTGTTTTTGAATGAGTTGCTTCATTAGTTAGTATTAGAGATAATTTCCATTCTTAGTGTAAGTATCTGGGTGAAGGACAGAACTCTGGTATGAATCCAAGTTGAATTAACATTGCTCCTGCACAATCCATATTGGCTTAATAACTGTTGCAATCACTCAGTTGTCTAAAAGACCCATATTATAGAAGTGATTTATGAACTTCATGTAGAATCACTTAAATGAGATAGTGGAATTGTGGTAAAAGGGCAATTATCTTTCATTTCTGTATAATGACTTGAAGATGGGCAATGCAGTTATGAAACAACCCACTCTGCAGATTCAAACCCTACTGTGTTCAAGGGATTCATGGTTCAACTTTTACTGGCTGCTACTCTTGAGTCCAGCGTAGTATTCTATAAAGGGTAGGTATTCAGTATTTGTTGCAGGTTCAGTGAGATGATCAGTAGGTACAGGCAGTTGTTGCCCGGTGCTCTAAGATCAATTCCCAGGACCCATATGGTGAGAAGAGAGAATCAACTCCTATAAGTTGTCTCCCAACCTACACACACACACACACACACACACACACACACACACACACACACACACACACACACACCACTCCTTAGTTAGTTTAAAAATAAATACTTGTTGCAATGAAGTGAGAATGTTTTCCTCTAACAGTGTTTACCTTCCTCCCAGACCCCTTTCTTCCTAATGTCATTTATTGACTACCTATGGGATCAGCCATAAAATCCTTTCTGGATTATTACTAACTGTGGTTATGAGAGATTTGGGGGATTTCAAATGTGATTGCATATTACCCTAAAAGAACTCTGTGTTCTAACATCATACCTCAACTTCTGATAATGAACCCGACTGAGTTCATTTTGAAAACACACTTGTGCCACATAGACCTTTGGATCCAGCTTCATTTTTATGAGATGCCAGTCTGCTGGCACTGGTGACTGGTGACTAGCATCCTGTGTTCCTTCTCCCAATCAACCATTTCACCAACTTCTACTTAACCTTAGTCAATACACCTGCATTTTTTTAAATTTTAAAATTTACTGTTTTATTTTAAAGTTTTACCATCTTCCTACATGTAAACCTACTTTCTGTTATTACTGTATGGGAAGAGGTGATGGGGAGCAGGGACACTCAGTATGAAGTTCAAGGGTTTCAAACTGCTCCATGCCCCAAGGAAGGCTTTGCCACTTAGTAATTGTATGCAATATTTACCTCCTCTTTGCCGTCTTGGTCTCCTTTCTTGAAAATAGGTGTTTTCATTACTCACCTCTAACAATTTTGATAGGATAATATAGGGAATGTACTCAGTATAAAGCTTCACACAGGAGAGCTTTCCTGATAGTGTATGATCCCTGGCCCCATTATCTTCATCTACATCCATCAGCTCTAACACACACCATCTAGTACCACTCTACCATTTCTGACAACAGAAGGCCACCTGCCCATTACCACCTGCGTACAGCTACTTTTATGTTCTGTTTGGCTATTGTGGATCTGTCCAGTCTGGAGGTGCTGAACTAATTGTGCCCCAATATTAAACATAAAGAATAGGCAGTGGTAGCACACGCCTTTAATCCTAGCATTCCAGAGGCAGAAATCCATGTGTTCAAGGATACAGACAGGCATGGTGACTCATCACGCCTTTAATCCCAGAAAGCAAGCCTTTAATCCCAGGGAGTGGTGGTAGAACACAGAAAGGTATATAAGGCATGAGGACCAGAAACTAGAAGCATTTGGCTGGTTAAGCATTTAGCTGGTTAAGCTTTCAGACTTCTAGCAGCACAGTTCAGCTGAGAGCCATTTGGGATGAGGACACAGAAGCATCCAGTCTGAGGAAACAAGATCAGCTAAGAAGTTGGCCAGGTGAGGTTAGCTGTGGCTAGTTCTGTCACTCTGATCTTCCAGTTCACCCCAATACCTGGCTCCGGGTTTGATCTAGATCTTAATAAGAAACTTTTAAGATTCATGCTACAATGAACTGTACCTTAAACTGTGAAGCAGAATCAAACCTTCCCTCCTTGAGTTGCTGTTTTTAGTGTTTCATCATAGCAAAACGAGAAGTAACAAGTGGAGCTGCGGAGTGAGGACAGAAACCATGCATGCTTGTGACAGAAGATGTCAAGAGGAGACAGATGGATGAGGAGGGCAGGGCAGTGATGCAGGATTTTTTAGGACAGCCAGGGAGGTTGTCATGTTGGTGCTGCTGATACCTGGTTGAGTTTCACATTTGACTCAGAAGTAGAAACAAAATTTACCAATGGATGGCTGTAGAGGGTGACACACTGAGATCTCAGTATTTTGCTGGTGCAACTGGGAAGTCCTGGGAGAATAGGAGCTTTGGAGAAAATGAGATTTGCTTTGGATCTGTTAACTTCAGGCATGCTCCACACTTCTTTGGCAAACTTCCTTATCGTAGTGATACCTATGTCTTTGTATTAACTGGGAAAATCTTAGGTTGGCAAATGTTTATTTTTATATGCTCTATCTTTATAGGCATATAGATATACATACACATATTGTACATTTAAAGTTTACGTGCCTATAGTATTGGCAACAACTACCTTCAATGGTTTAAAAGTCATCAGAAGTTTATAGGGAATAATTTCCCTTTTTGTCCATAAGGAATTAAGAAACCCCTAGTTAAATATATGCGGATGTGCAGATAAAGAGGGTTTGTTTCGTGATACAAATCAATGCTTGCCTCCATTACTTTCCTTGATGTTTTATCCTGTCTGCAGGTTGTAGAGCAGGCCTCCACTTTCAGGACAGGCTAGCACACTTTCACTGTTTGAAACCAAAGCTTTCTGTGTTTTACAGCCAAGCTGATCATGTAGTTCTGGAAAAAAAAGGAATCACCTGTTCTGAAATTCCCCAAATTATCTGATGTGTGAAATTAGTCCCTCTAGCTTTCTCTAAACCTTCTTATTCTTAAATTTAACATTCTTCACTAAAATTTATCTTGATATATCCAGGATGTGACTTGGATTCCCACTCTTGTTATTTTTTTTTTCACTTTTCCTACTAGTTACTGAGGGATACCTGTTGTAGACTTCTCTCATAACTATGGATTGGATTATTATATTATTAGTTTTGTTAAATTCTATCTTATATAATTAAAACTTATGCCATTAAATATTTACGATTATGACTATTTATTATAGATATGATTTTATATATACAAATTTAAACATTTTCTTGTTTTAAAATACATCTTTGAATTCTGTAATTTTCCTTTAAAATATAGTTTGTTCAATATTAACACAGACATCTCATCTCATTTTTGTTAGTATTTACAGTTAGATCTATATCTATTCTTTAAACTTCAGATTATGACTCCATGTACTCAAAATGTTTCTTTTGTAAATAGGATGTAGCTGCATTTGTTTTTTTATATCTACCTTGAAAAATCCTATATTTTCAGTAAGATATGTTTATTTTCTCCATGCAAGTTTTCCAGTTTAATTGGCAGGTAAAAATTGTTCATATTCAAGATATAAACATGATTTCAAAAATATATTTACCGGGGTTGGAGAGATGGCACAGAAGTTAAAAGCATAGACTGATCTTCCAGAGGTCCTGAGGTCAATTCCCAGCAACCACATGGTGGCTCACAGCCAACTATAATGAGATCTGGTGCCCTCTTCTGGTGTGCAGGCATACATGGAGACAGAACATTGCATACATAATAAATCTTTAAAAAAAAATATATGTATATCTATATTTACCTATATTAGAATGTATTAAATTTTAGATGAAAAGTTGAGTCTATTGACAATAAATATTAGTGATTCAGCTCATATAAGTATATCTTATTGCTATTATTTTTACTGTTTCCATTGTTTAGATTTTATTTCTCCTCTTCTGAGTTTTGTTTTCATAGCATCTCACAAATTTTATTCTGTATAGAAGTTCCCTTAAAATTTTAACTTCACTTTCTTCTATTCCTTTCTTAGTCATCACATTATTGGCGATAATATATTCTTGCTGCTTCTTGAACATGCAGAGTCATTGATGAAGTCCATTGATCATTAAACATTCACTGATTCCCTTGAACCATTATGGCTCAGTTACGCAAATGTTTTATAAGTCCCAGGAAAGATTATATATCTTTGTTTTAATAGTCAATCCTCATTTAGTTATCCTAAAAGTTACACTTCTTCTGACTTTTCCATTCCCGAAGTTTGTGTCCCTGTAAAGCGGTTTTACATTAGCCTTCAGGAGTGCTTTGAAAGTATCTGTTTTTATATGGAGCTCTGCTGCAAAAAATAATGCTTAGCTTTTGTTTTTCTGAAAATATCTACTTCACCTTCCTGACCTAAGAAGTAGTTTTACTTTCTACAGAATTCTAGGCAAGCCTTTCTTCCTCTGTGAGCATTTCCATA